TCTATGAATCCGAGATGCTGCGAACCCTTATTTTACTAAACGAAGAAAACCACCGGAGCCGCATCAGGCAAGTCCCTCCCGATCTTTTTCTCAGACTGAGATTCTTAAGTGYTGTAGATTTGAGTGGCACTTGCATCATGGAGTTACCAACATCCATTGAAAACTTGAAGCATCTAGCATTTCTAGACCTCTCCTATACTCCCATCACAATCTTACCAGATTCCATATGTAGCCTCAATCATCTCCTAACATTGAACCTCAGATATTGTTCAGAACTTATTGAGTTACCCAATAGCATATCAAAGATGTTGAGCCTTCGACATCTTGATTTAGAGGGAGCTCGTCAACTAACATCCATGCCCCCAAGCATTGGTAAGTTAACAAACCTAAGAAAATTGGGCACATTCGTCGTGGGAAGGGAGGAAGGATGTAGAATTGAAGAGTTGAGAAACCTAAACAAGCTTCGAGGATCACTTGCCATCTTAAACCTTGAGAATGTCATGGATGGAGACGAAGCTGAAAGAGTGCGTTTACAGGACAAATGGTACCTTACAAAATTAGAGTTCCAATGGAGAAGGGTAGAGTGGGGTGATAAAGCAAAGCACGTGCTTAGCAATCTTGAGCCTCCCCCTGAAGTCAAAGAATTAAAGATATTGCATTACAGTGGTTCCACATTTCCAGGATGGTTGATGTTGAGCATCTCAGGTTTCTGGTGTCTTACGACAATCATCCTTATCGGTTGCGGGGGGTGTACACATCTTCCGTCTTTGGGAGAACTTCCAAACCTCACATCATTGTGCATTGAAGAAATGCATGCACTAAAAGAAATAAATAATTATGGGTTGCGTAAATTTGGGATTCCAGAGTTTCCAAGGTTGATGAAACTGGAACTTGATGGCATGCACGAATTGAGGAAGTGGTGGGAAATAGAAGTGGGTGACATGCCTCGCCTCCACAAACTTACCATCACTGACTGCCCCAAGCTCACTACTCTTCCGATGCTTGAATGGCTCCCATCTCTGCGACATCTAGAAGTTACTCTCTGCCCTAAAATCTCATCACTACCAGATGGAGCACCACCAAATCTTCGATCACTAATTATCGCGGAGAGCCCAAAACTTGAAAAACGATGTCGGAAGGGAAAAGGCGAAGATTGGCATAAGATAGCTAGAGTCCCAGATATATGGATTCATTACAAACAGATTTCTGGTATCAAAACAGAACATTCTCAAGGTATGAGTCCTGATCTTACCATATTGATTACTTTAATTACATAAGCATATAACTTTATTAAGATTTCTTTTATTTTCATCATGACACAATTTTATTTTCTTTTATAGGCTAAATT